GGCTTGTCGATCAAAGTCAAGTAATAAAGTTACTTTTTGCAGATAAACGCTTGTATGTACATGTTGTAATAAGACAACACGTGTTCCACGGAAACGTTTGCAATTCCGAAAATAAGCAAAATTTTAGATATAATGCCGTTGGCAACTCTAACGGCTCCTTGGACCGAGCATCGTACAAATGAAAAGGTAAAACTCTTAATTTCTCTCATTGTCAGCATTTTTTTTGAATTGCAATATTCTTGGAATTTTCTTGGGAAACAGCAAATTTCAAAGCATTGCTGCCGGATTTTCATGACGGATTGTTCTTATTCTTTCTGTATCTTCTTTGCTTTAACATTCGAGATTGGAAAGTATATCACTTTGAAAAATACTTGAATTTTCCATACCTGTTTTGCATCTGTTTAGCAAAGTACAGAGATTCTTCCAGCTGAAAATCAGGAAGAAACAATGATTACTCAAGGAAATTTAATTGAAAGATCAAATGGTTGCTCAGAATCTCATGAAATTGAAGTACGCGACATGGCGAGGGATGGTTATGAGAAAGCGGAACCATCTCATTTTGAATTATTAAAAGTACTTGGTCAAGGATCCTTTGGCAAAGTAAGAATAGTGAATCAGACGTAACAAGAAGATAATGTGAACACTGTATATGCATGCGCATATATAATGCATGCATATATGCACCAAATGTATATTATAGTATCTTTTAAACACTTTTCTATACTTCATATTATGCTGTACATATAAAATTTTATTTTAATTGATCTCTTCTGTTGATATTTTTATAGGTATTTTTAGTAAGAAAAGTTGTTGGAAAAGATAGCGGGACTCTGTATGCTATGAAAGTCTTGAAGAAGGCGACCTTAAAAGGTATCTAGAAATATTATTGTGTTGCAAATGTTATGGATTATTGTAATCATCGTATTATTCTCTTCTCTTTAGTTCGTGATAGAGTCAGAACCAAAATGGAGAGAAATATATTGGTAGATGTAGAACATCCATTTATTGTTCGGCTACATTATGCTTTTCAAACCGAAGGGAAGCTTTATTTAATTCTAGATTTTCTAAAAGGTGGTGATCTCTTTTCCAGATTGTCTAAAGAGGTAACGAGTGTTGCTTGGAAATGGCTAGATTTCAATGTTGCCTATACTTTTTGACAATTAGCATA